TTCAGATAATAGGCCAATGGGTCAACTTCATTGATCCCTTCCCTCGGTCTTATGTCATAATTGTTGAATAATATGATTTGGCAAGTCCCCATAACCGGATCTGTGTTTTTGTTCAACCAATACTGACCAGCCCAGCTGACCTCAGCCGGACACGCTATTCTACGTAACGCAAAGTGGATCGCTTTTCTTACAACACAAAACCACTCCGAGGCCAGGACAAAAGCGTTAGACAATTACACGTAAACCGGCCAATCGGTTTACAGATATTGCTCAATAGTCGCTGCCTAGGGCTCCGAAATTCTGCCGAAAACAAACAAATGGGAACATTTTATGTTTGTCCAGATTTTCAATACTTAACAACGCGGAACGCCAACCTTTACTGATCTTAATGACAAGCTCAGTGTTGCTTATTTTCGGTCCATATTTGAACTTTAATAGTCAAGGACATGTGATATAATGACTTTATATTTGTCCTGTTAACACTTGATATGACGCGAACTGTTAAATCAGTAAGACTCAACAAGATAACACAGAACTCAAATAGCCAAGACTATCACATTTACATATTGATAGACATGTACAAAGATCCTGTATCGGAGGTTCGCTTAAAATATCATCTATTTGAAAATGAAGGTTACCCGATGATAACATTCTACATTGTGCCGAATTCCATTGCTATGTAAAAAAGGCAAAAAAATATGTTTAAAAACTAAAACAACATTCTACATAACTTCAGTTGCCTTATCTTGAATACATCCAACGATGTTCTTTGCCTTGACGTAAAGTGTATTAGTTATATACATGTAGTACGTTTTTTTAATTCGTGAGTTTTCAATATAGATGCATAACATAATGTATGCAATCTAACATCACATCTTCATCAGTTTTAATCCGCATATAAGTATTGATCAGAAATGAATGCTGGAAACAATTAGCAATACGCGTGGCCTTTAATAAACTTCACAAACATATAACACTAATCTTGACGTGGCCAATCGATACGTTCTCCAAGGTGGGCCAGGAAATCAACTGAGACAGATTGCAAACAACGACCATCAGCACACAAGGTCGAAACAACCTGCAGATATCAATCATTTATGTGCAATAAATATCACACACAAAAAGTTCAAATCATAACACTGTACATAATATTCATAGAGTCAATGTTTCATATAATAATTATTATTATTATATGTCAGCCATATGTTGTTTACATGGTTTATTATTTAACATGAAACTGTGTCAGTCCACCTGCATAATGAATACCTAATGAGGAACTAATTTGCATTATTTGGTAAGTTTATAGGTGTGATCACACGACTGGAATTTTAAATGACACTTATCATTTCACCAATGGGAATAAAAGGTAAATTTACATAAAATAATTATGCTAAAAAAACTAAATTATTCCGTTTTTTCTAATTTTAGCAGAACAAGAAGAGGTTATCTGTTGACCCGGAAATAGCATGCAAAGCATGAAATTAATCAAACATAATGCTGAGTTTTAAAGAAAATATAGTTTCTCCCATATCACCTAAATGTATCAGATGAAACTCGTCATGAATTCTAATTGTTCCTGTGTAATAAATAAGTTTACCCTATGTGACAAAGCCCGAAGGAGAATACGTCTGTTATATGAGGTGTTCTGACATAAAACTCAACACGCTCATTTAAATAAGTCAAATGTTGTCTGAAGACAGTGTTTTGCATTAACTTTAAAATCATTGATTTGTTGTTTCCAATTCAAATAGCTATTTAGGCATTATCTACGACATATATGTCTTACTTTTAATAATCTTACTCTTGCTTATTCATTAAACAGTCTCTAGAACTGAGGAGAGTGGGCTCACTGACATTATAAGGTGTGGACTTTGCAGCTAAAAATGTTTAAATCAAATTTTCTATTTGAAGCTATGTTAATTTTGTTAATGTTAATGTATATTAGAAATATAAGCAATCACTTTGCGACTTTTCTACATGTACATGTACATGTATATGTATATATTTCACTGTGTTTTTCTATTTTGCCTTCAAACTAGTTTGTAGTTACAAATGTGGATATATAGTTATATTGGGATATTACTCAACAATATAAACCCTGGTATTATCTAATCCATATTTAAATCAATATCATGAAATACATAAGAACACATTATGATTCCATATTAACTTCTAACTTCTATATTTAACTGACTATATAAATATTACATTGAACTTTTGAGACTAGCCAATAACGATTTTTTGTACAAGTGTGTTTTGTTTTGCCAAAGTCTATGTTTGAAAAGCGAAGTGTCCGTTACCTATTGACCAAACCGGTTTGTCATTGTAAAAGGTTGCCATATTTAGCCGTTGCTTACTCAAGGTGTGTTAAAAGTATGTAAGCGGTCGTGTATTGGATCACCGTTGTCTGACCACAGATCACTGTTTGCTTGGCTTTAGTTTCTCTATCGCTCTATAATGTTTATATAATAGATGAATCGACCCAGCAGTAACATGACCTCATAACTATTCATTTCTTACTTAAAACGAACTGTGTGCTGTGTACCTGACCCCCCCTGGACATAGACGGAGTGGTCAATACTGAGGGACTGTGTACATACGCTTGCGAAAGTTTAAAACCTCCAGATAATTTAGTTCGGTGATACGGTTCAGGACACGGTAAATGGGTCAATCTGAAATGTACCTGTGGAAATATTACGCAAAATGGACAGGTAAAAGTCCGGATGTGGTAGAAGAGCTTGACCACGTAAATGTTTGACCATATAAGATACCAAACAATACACCAATGCACACAAAATAAAACACAAATCTTGACAATACATGAAGCTGAACAAACCCAATATAAACCTTGACTATATATAAAAATGGTTCCTTGATTGTATAACTTCACCACGCAGACTAAATATCGAACTTAACATAACGAAAATAGTACCTTACGTAATACTTAACAAATATTTAAATCGTGAAGATAAATGAAGGATTAAGAAAATATAACACTTGATCAAAAAGTTTGACTAAACATAAATCTCGATAAAAAATACAACCTAAAACGTTAATATAATTTATACCTCGAATACATGGAATGGAATGGAGAAACATGAGGTCCTACACAAACGTACGAAATTTACCAGTCACCTTAAATAGATATAGAAGTATAATTATTAAGTCATCAGCATCTTCATTGATCCTAGACACGGACTTATTAGAGCAATGGAGAGGCATGCAGATTAAGTCATGAACTGCTGTATTCTGCCTGACGAAGATATGGAGAAGTATGATCAAATAGACATCGACCGCCAGACAGACATATTGGGGCAGTATTAATTGTGATACACAATCATAATGACAAAGTGGAAATTAATTATTAACTATAAGGTGAAACATAATCAATCGGAAGCAAATAGTCTAGATCAAGAGAGACAACTCTTAAATATGTCCTGAAACCTTATACACCGGCAACAACCTGTGACAAATACACCATACATCGTCATCAAAATATGACACCTTGGCGAGACACGCAAAAACAAAACATAACAAAGCATCAACACAAAATGGTTAGGTACCATAGCGTTAATACAAAAGGTATTAGTTCATTTACCTCCGACCATGTGCATTCACTGTGTAAAAGAAAGCAATTTTAAATACTCTTTCAAGACAAGCATCACTACATCTGTGTATCACTGCCGTCTTATTGTTTGTAGCTATCATGGCCCAGATTGATAGAAGGTGAATTAGTTCCAAAACAGAATTATATCAAAGACTATTAGACTCTTTCATACATCTCTATGTCAGAATATTTGTGTTACAACTAACATGTAACCGGACAATGTTCCCTTGTCATTACTGGTAGGGAGGTTTAATTACTTAGGTTATAAGGTAACTTTTAGCCAGAAAGGTTATAATGTAACTTTTAGCCAGTACACATTTTTATTTGTAGTCTAGCTGGACAATTTCGTTTGTTTGGTCAAAGCAGAGCCTACTTCCGATGTATCAAAACGCAATGAGTGTTTTTGTAACTTTCTCTCGATGTTTAATCACACGCTTGTAATTTATAACAAGAATAATATCATTATAATAAATACTGCATATACAGATATCGGTTAGAACACATTTGCAATAAACTAATGGACGTAAGCGCATCACCTAATCGAGAACCATGGCGGCCATCGTAAATCCCGCACCTTAAAAGACCGTTGTTTCCTAATAAACATTATATATATTCGCAATTTTGGAGAATAGAGAAGCATGATCACTCAGCTGAGACACCTGCGGGTTCTACACAAACATATGAAAGGTACCATTCACCATTAATAAATAAAAGAGTGATTATTAAATAATGAACCTCTTCTTTATTAACTTATCAGAGAAATATAAATTGCGATGGAGAGGCCTGCAGGTTTCGTCATGAACTGCTCTATTCGGCCCGACAAAAATGTACATGTAACTATATAGAGGAATTCACTGACTGCTAGACTGACATATCGGGGTAATATTTACTGTGTTAAAAATCATGATGACCAAACTGTGTATTCTGCAAAGTGATACACGTAGAAGTTAATGTACACAAATAATGTGATCATGATTTTCAATGGGAAGCAAATTGTCTAGATAAAGAGAGACAACTCTTAAATATGTCCTGAAATTCCAATGCGTCCATACAAAAGGTACATTTACTTCCGACATTCTGAATGTTTCGTTTTATAGGAAGGTTAATTTCAAATACTCTCTAAAGCCCATATCATTGGACAGGTATTTTTATCACTGTCATCTTATTGTTTGTAGATATCATGGCCCAGGCTGACATGAATGTGAACTAGTCCAGAAACAGAATCATTTATAAGAGTATTGGACTATTTCGTATTTTTCTATCTTTGATGAACACTCAATTAACCCCATGTTAACATTATGTAGCCACACAAAGAATCTTAATGACCTGGTACAGCTTACAGTCGATAATCCTGGCACTTTGAATGATTTCAAAACGCAATGAGCCTCATGTTGTTCTCTTGAGTGTTTAATTAAACATTTGTAATTTATAAAAACAAGAAAATCAGAATAATACATACCTCGTATACAGAAATCAGCTTGAACACATTTTCAAATATCTTTGTTTTAATGTGAAAGTAATGGGTGCAAAAAGACTTCGTTAAAATATAAAATCTTTTTCCTTTCTTTATGATGCTAAAGGATCCTTCAAATAATACGGCAGTGTCATTTATCATCTTCACAAGTATATACGATGTATCATTACGTAAACATACACAAAAATCACGAAACAACATTTTTTTTCATATTCTTTATCGAAAGCATCATATTGGCGAAGATTTTCCTGATGGGAACGTTTTGAATGTATCGTCACTTTCCTGTGTCTACTTCCGGATGGCATAAATATCATCGCCAACACTGATTGTTCCTGCCACGTCCAAGGCCAAGTAGATACCAATACAGGGTTTTATACCATACTTCGGAAAACTTCGGATCCTGTTGAGCGAAAATTATCCGTCAGTTATATAAAAGAACATTTTAGATTTTAGAACAATTTTGAAAGCGTGGAGAATGTTTAAAAATGCCTGACTGGTAAAACAGTCTCCGAATAATAGTACTTATATCATCACATCAAGTTTCTCCACACTCTCGTCTGTCTGAGAATGCGTTGTTTTTGAATATGCATCAATAATTGTTTAAACTAATGGATAGGCTTCATAATATTACCGTAAAATGTATCTGCTAGCATTGTAGTATTGACGCTACTGTATGTTTGTAGAGCTTTCCGACGAGTGATGGTTGGTTATGATGGGTATCTTACTCTCGTTACTTAATTTGCCAAATGTAACAGTCACTCTGTAAACCTCGTGTCTTTATACAATTTGAACATTAACTAACGAGAGTAAGATAAGCATGATAACCAACAATCACTCGTTGGGGAAGCTCTATACAACGATGTAAAACAATGGAGAGAAAACGTATTGAACAAGCATTTAAAGAAATACAATGCTCAGAAGAAAGTCTAGGTAAACCGTTGACAAAGCTTGGTGGCAGCAAATCACAAGGTCAAGATCAGTATCCTAAGGTTATGAAAGACCTTCATTCGGCTTGTACCAACGATAGGGAAGGAAGTGAGCATAACAGATATATTTAAAAAAGGATCAAAATCAGATCCAGGGAAAGTATCGACCAGTGAGCTTTACCAGAATTGTGGGATAACTCTTGAAAGGATAGTTCTAGATGCTCTTGTCAAACCTATGGAGAAAGACAATCTGTTCAGCAACAAACAATTTGCATTCATCGCCAAAAGATCTACGGTACTGCGACGTTTAATGGTGCTGGAAGATTGAACAAGAACTGGATCGGGAAGGCGAGATAGATAGCATTTACATGGCTTTTATGAAAGCGTTCAACAATGTACCACATTGAAAAGATAATTTGGAAAGCTCAGATGTTATGGTATAAGTAACCAAGTTGTCAGTTGGTATTGGTCAATGGAAATTCACCGACAGAACATCCGGTAGTCAGTGGCATCCCTATGGAAAGTGTATTGGGTCCAATATTGTTTGTAATATATATATATAAATGACCTCCCAGAATGAACCCTTTCAAGAACCTTTTTGTTTGCCGATATATGTCCATTGTATTGTTATAAGATATGGATATAGAGGCACCCAATGACTGCGTCCATTACATTTCCTATTAATTCCTATTAAGGTGGCTCCACACTTTCGCAATTAACCAGCAAAATTCGTTGAAACTTTCATATAATTGTTATGCAACTATGTCGAGTTGATTTTATGAAAATCTAAACATTCCGATAGTTTGGGGAATTTTTTGAAAAAAAATACCAAAAAATTGAATTTTCGTCAATTCTAATATTTTCCGTTTTTGTTTTGTGTGTGGCATTGTTCGGAACAATAACAACAATAATAAAATGCATAGAAGCATTTCTAATTAACCCTACAGATATTTTATTTATCGCAAAATATGTAACACATGTTACACAAAGTGTTTTTTATTGAATTTGTACGGATAAAAGTGATTATCTACAAGCTAAAAGCACCCGGGACACAAAGTTCTATACATATAGAGTGGGAAATTGAACAAAATATACACAATGGTTTTATAATTAAATTATTTTACATTTTACAATCACTTTGATCCGGGTGAGAGTTATCTTCCTTGAAAAAATCGGAACTTTTTGCAGAGGGGTGACATTTACACAATAACAGATGTCTCTGTTTACATATAACAAAAATGATGGAAATAAATCAAAAATATGATATCAAAATTATCAATTTATTGTTCTTTAATGGAACCAAATTACCCTCAGTCATGTACACTTTGGACATCATTCCACAGTCCGCTAACTCACGGTATATTTATAATTACGTGTCAGTCCAGAGGCTATCGCATCGTATACCGTTCTCACGTGCTCTCACACATGCATTTCATAGGTATCTTGATATTTTACAAAATATTATTTTCACAGAGTAAGCTAGTAGACTACATTTGTAAACACGATTTAATCGACAGAGCGAAACTCCCTCAACAGCGAAAATCGTAACGACCTCGAGCTTATGAACTCGTGTAAACACGCGATATGCACATGTGAGGTTGGTACGTCCGCATTCCATGTGTTTCCTATATGACCTTCTTGAGGTCGTCTGGTCTGATGTCACTGTCTTCCCGTGAGTCTGTTTATGTCTATGAATTGGAAAGCTTTATTCCTGAAGTACGTGTGAGTATACATTTCCAGGTAAAATCTTGATATCGGGTGTTGACATATCATCGGCACGCACGTGTACTATTGTTTACCGGGGCCTGTTCGTTTATGCGGAGCAACCGGTTTGACCGTTTATAAATGTAACAATTTCGGGGGTAAATCCTGGCGGACCTGCAAATGTGTATGCATGCCTTGCAAGGCTTTCTCAAGACCCGCCTGAAAGCAGCATCAGATTACTAGGTCCGACCTTATTTAATAAACGAACAACAGTGGTCCGATCGGTTTGACCGTTTAAACGAAAACGGCCCAGCAGGGGTTACTATAATTTGCACTACGATATTGAATGCCCGATACGCAATACGGAAATGACGACACGGTGTACATGGAGATTGGGATTAAGAGGATTGAGTCCTAGCTGTACTTTTTCCCGAAGTATGTCACGAAAATGGACGCTGATGACGATGTGTCGAGCCACCTTAAACCTTGTTCACACGAACGAGGTATTCCGTCTTTGTGTATTGCAGAGTTATCTTCTCTTGGGAGCAGGTATTGATTGATACGTCACTTGTTTGTGAGAGTAACGTCATCAATTTTTGAGAAAACGACGTAATTTTATCACACAAACCAATGACGTAACAATCAATACCTGCTCCCAAGAAGATAACTCTGCAATACGCAAAGACGGAATATCATCACTATAAGAACTATGGAAGCAGCTTTCCAAAAATATAACAAATCAATACAAACATCCAAACTAAGTAAACATTTGCTGCTCCCTGTGGCTATTTTGGTAATTTAGGACTCCTCACTGGTAACAATGATCAAAAGAATACAAAAAAGTGATCTGGAACCATACGTAGAAATAGAGCAAAAGGGGGAAGGTGTCATTAAAATCCTTCAAAACACTTCAAATATACAACTTTAAGCTACAACAAATATATTTTGAAACTACATTTTCGTGGAAACTGTGCTAGAATGAGTGTTTAGGGACTACTAGTCAACAGCAGAAACATAAAGGGAGCACAATCAAAAACTTTAGTTCATCAATGCAGAGATTCAGATAAAGTTAACATACACTGGATCATATATTCATTTTGATCAAGGCCTCAACACTGATACCGAATACCAAAACGATGAAATTCCAGAAATACAGCAACAGGGTAAATAAGATGATCATAAAATAACAACGTTATCGTTACTTACCTTCTTAGTGTAGCAAACGGCTCCTTGTCCTTCGAGTGTCTTCCCTCCTTTTCTACAACGTTGATCTGATTGCATCTACAAAATATTTATGAAAAAAATCAGTATCTAGTTTCAACTCATCAATGGTTGTGTGGTTGGTGTATACTGATATATTCCGTCTTTGCGTATTGCAGAGTTATCTTCTCTTGTGAGCAGGTATGATTGTTACGTCATTGGTTTGTGTGAGAAAATTACGTCGTTTTCTCAAAAATTGATGACGTTACTCTCACAAACAAATGACCTAACAATCAATACCTGCTCTCAAGGGCAGATAACTCTGCAATACGAAAAGACGGATTAGGCCTACATGATTTATTTATAAGTTTGATGACTGTTGTATGTGTTGGATCTATATGATTGACTTACATGCTTTATTTATATGGCAATTATTAAGGTATCTCATTCTGAAAAAAATATGACTGAATCCTACCAGTGGGAACATTATAACAAAATATTATCAAAACACAAGCAATGATCCTTCAACGGATCATACTTTTATCACATATGGTATGCAAGTGTTTCGTTAGTACATTGCTATTTATTGTTACTTAATGTATCATGAATAACATATTGACCATGTTTGTAATTCTGTATATGAATGTTTCATCCTTACATTGACAATAAACTGCAATGCTGTATGTTAATGTTTCTAAGGACATTGACAAAGACTAGCTGATCATTGCTGTAATACAAATGAGACACTGACCTGGAACACATGTCTATCATCCTGAAGGAGACCGAGCCAATCTTCACAGCTTCCCACTTGTCCTACAGTGTGTAAAACAAAGCACACATTAAATAATGATATATAAATAAACAGAGTCCCAAATATCGTGCTAATATATCTGTAAATATGTTGCTTGGAACGGAGGTATCGCAAAAAAACATCACTCAACGAGTGCGTGCTGTCTATAGAAATAATTCAAATTATTTTCCTTCAATTTTGCATTGATAAATGTAAGATAAAAATGCATTTGATAAATCCAACCTCTTCAAAGGCTGGCGATCCCTCCATCATGATGCTTGGGCGGAAGTTATTGATGGCCGCTGGTCTGTCTAGTTCAGCGTTCAGTGCGACAATGCTTTCGTTCGTCATCATCATGTAGGAACAGTAGTTCGAAAAAGCCATCTGTCAGGTGGAAAATATTTTCATGAAAAAAATGATAATACAGATGGCAAATATACACCTATTGGAATGTGATGTTATCAGAGGTGTCGACGCAAAGGTGAAAAATAAGTTTAATTATGTAAAACACACGGGGTAATCTTACTATTTGAAACACTTCAAAATACCATGTCATATGGTATAAGCTGTGTTATCGGGTCATAATCAGATTGACACGTGCGAACACAGTGGTAGGATACATTTATATCTACCTGAAGTATCACAGAAGATACCGCTATATTATCGGCATTACAACTACTAATTAAGCTATGGTATCATAGATGGCACCTATTTGAAACCGGCATCCTCAAAATCAAAGGGACCATTATCGATGCACATAGCAAATGCATGTATATGGAGTGGACGTTTGGGTTTACAAGATCTGCAACTGGCAGTATCAAAAACGTGACACTATGCAACCTGTAGTATTACAAAAAGTGATGCTACGCAACCTGTAGTATTACTAAAAGTGACGCTATGCAACTTGTAGTATCACAAAACGTGACACTATCCAACCTTTAGTATCACAATAGGTGACGCTATGAAACCTGTAGTATCACAAACGGTGACACTATGTAACCTGTAGTATCACAAACGTTGACGCTATGTATCCTGTAGTATCACAAACGGTGACGCTATGCAACCTGTAATATCACAAACGGTGACACTATGTAACCTGTAGTTTCACAAACGGTGACACTATGTAACCTGTAGTATCACAAACGGTGACACTATGTAACCTGTAATATCACAAACGGTGACACTATGAAACCTGTAATATCACAAACGGTGACGCTATGTAATCTGTAGTATCACAAACGGTGACACTTTGTAATCTGTAATATCACAAACGTTGACACTTTGTAACCTGTAGTATCACAAGCGGTGACACTATGTAACCTGTAGTATCACAAATGGTGACGCTATATAACCTATAATATCACAAACGGTGACGCTATGTAACCTGTAGTTTCACAAACGGTGACGCTATGTAACCTGTAATATCACAAACGTTGACACTTTGTAACCTGTAGTATCACAATCGTTGAGGCCAATTATCCTGTAGTATCACAAACGGTGACGCTATGTAACCTGTAGTATCACAATAAGTGACACTATGTAACCTGTAGTTTCACAAACGGTGACGCTATGTAATCTGTAGTATCATAAACGGTGACACAATGTAATCTGTAGTATCACAAACGGTGACACTATGTAACCTGTAGTATCACAAACGGTGACGTTTTGTAATCTTTAGTATCACAAACGGTGACGCTATGTTACCTGTAGTATCTGTAATATCACAAACGGTGCCACTATGTAACCTGTAATATCACAAACGGTGACGCTATGTTACCTGTAGTTTCACAAACGGTGACACTATGTATCCTGCAGTATCACAAACGGTGACGCTATGTTACCTGTAGCATCACAAATGGTGACACAATGTAATCTGTAGTTTCACAAACGGTACCCCTTTGTATCCTGTAGTATCACAAGCGGTGACGCTATGTATCCTGTAGTATCACAAACGGTGACGCTATGTAATCTGTAGTATCATAAACGGTGACACAATGTAATCTGTAGTATCACAAACGGCGACACTATGTAACCTGTAGTATCACAAACGGTGATGCTATGTAACCTGTAGTATCACAAACTGTGACACTATGTAACCTGTAGTATGACACAAGATGACGCTATGTAACCTGTAATATCACAAAAGGTGACACTATGTAACCTGTAATATCACAAATGGTGACATTATGTAACCTGTAGTATCACAAGCGGTGACACTATGTAACCTGTAATATCACAAATGGTGACATTATGTAACCTGTAGTATCACAAACGGTGACACTATGTAATCTGCAGTATCACAAACGGTGACACTATGTAATCTGTAATATCACAAACAGCGACACTATGTAATCTGTAGTATCACAAACGGTGACGCTATGTAACCTGTAATATCACAAATGGTGACATTATGTAACCTGTAGTATCACAAACGGTGACACTTTGTAATCTGTAATATCACAAACGGTGACACTATGTAATCTGTAATATCACATACAGTGACACTATGTAATCTGTAGTATCACAAACGGTGACGCTATGTAATCTGTAATATCACAAACGGTGACGCTATGTAATCTGTAATATCACAAACGGTGACGCTATGTAATCTGTAGTATCATAAACGTTGACACAATGTAATCTGTAGTATCACAAACGGTGACACTATGTACCCTGTAGTATCACAAACGGTGACGCTATGTATCCTGTAGTAACACAAACGGTGACGCTATGTAACCTGTAATATCACAAACGGTGAGGCTATGTAACCTGTAGTATCACAAGCGGTGACGCTATGTATCCTGTAGTATCACAAACGGTGACGCTATGTAATCTGTAGTATCACAAACGGTGACGCTATGTAATCTGTAATATCACAAACGGTGACGCTATGTAACCTGTAGTATGTTTCACAAACGGTACCCCTTTGTAACCTGTAGTATCACAAAAGGTGACACTATGTATCCTGCAGTATCACAAACGGTGACGCTATGTTACCTGTAGTATCTGTAATATCACAAACGGTGCCACTATGTAACCTGTAATATCACAAACGGTGACACTATGTAACCTGTAATATCACAAATGGTGACATTATGTAACCTGTAGTATCACAAACGGTGACACTATGTATCCTGTTGTATCACAAACGGTGACACTATGTATCCTGTAGTATCACAAACGGTGACGCTATGTATCCTGTAGTAACACAAACGGTGACGCTATGTAACCTGTAATATCACAAATGGTGACATTATGTAACCTGTAGTATCACAAGCGGTGACACTATGTAACCTGTAATATCACAAATAGTGACACTATGTAACCTGTAGTATCACAAACGGTGACGCTATGTAACCTGTAGCATCACAAACGGTGACACTTTGTAACCTGTAGTATCATAAACGGTGACGCTATGTAACCTGTAGTATCACAAACGGTGACGCTATGTAACCTGTAGTATCACAAACTGTGACACTATGTAACCTGTAGTATCACACAAGATGACGCTATGTAACCTGTAATATCACAAGCGGTGACACTTTGTAACCTGTAGTATCACAAACGGTGACGCTATGTATCCTGTAGTTTCACAAACGGTGACGTTATGTAACCTGTAGTATCACAAACGGTAAGGCTATGTAACCTGTAGTATCACAAACGGTGACGCTATGTAACCTGTAGTATCACAAACGGTGACGCTATTAACCTGTAGTATCACAAACGGTGACGCTATTAACCTGTAGTATCACAAACGGGGACGCTATGTAATCTGTAATATCACAAACGGTGACACTATGTAACCTGTAATATCACAAATGGTGACGCTATGTTACCTGTAGTATCACAAACGGTGACACTATGTAACCTGTAATATCACAAACGGTGACGCTATGTATCCTGTAGTTTCACAAACGGTGACGCTATGTATCCTGTAGTTTCACAAACGGTGACGCTATGTATCCTGTAGTATCACAAACGGTGACGCTATGTAACCTGTAGTATTGTAGTTTCACAAACGGTGACGTTATGTAACCTGTAGTATCCCAAACGGTAAGGCTATGTAACCTGTAGTATCACAAACTGTGACACTATGTAACCTGTAGTATCACACAAGATGACGCTATGTAACCTGTAATATCACAAACGGTGACGCTATGTATCCTGTAGTTTCACAAACGGTGACGCTATGTATCCTGTAGTATCACAAACGGTGACGTTATGTAACCTGTAGTATCACAAACGGTAAGGCTATGTAACCTGTAGTATCACAAACTGTGACACTATGTAACCTGTAGTATCACACAAGATGACGCTATGTAACCTGTAATATCACAAACGGGGGCACTTTGTAACCTGAAGTATCACAAACGGTGACGCTATGTATCCTGTAGTTTCACAAACGGTGACGCTATGTATCCTGTAGTTTCACAAACGGTGACGCTATGTATCCTGTAGTATCACAAACGGTGACGCTATGTAACCTGTAGTTTCACAAACGGTGACGCTATGTAACCTGTAGTTTCACAAACGGTGACGCTATGTAACCTGTAGTATTGTAGTTTCACAAACGGTGACGTTATGTAACCTGTAGTATCACAAACGGTGACGTTTTGTAATCTTTAGTATCACAAACGGTGACGCTATGTTACCTGTAGTATCACAAACGGTGACACTATGTAACCTGTAATATCACAAAAGGTGACACTATGTAACCTGTAGTATCACAAATGGTGACACTATGTAACCTGTAGTTTCACAAACGGTGACGTTATGTAACCTGTAGTATCACAAAGTAGTATCACAAATGGTGACACAATGTAATCTGTAGTTTCACAAACGGTAGCCCTTTGTAACCTGTAGTATCACAAACGGTGACGCTATGTAATCTGTAGTTTCACAAACGGTGACACTATGTAATCTGGAGTATCACAAACGGTGACGCTATGAAATCTGTAGTATCACAAACGGTGACGCTATGTAACCTGTAGTATCACAAACGGTGACGCTATTAACCTGTAGTATCACAAACGGGGACGCTATGTAATCTGTAATATCACAAACGGTGACGCTATGTTACCTGTAGTATCACAAATGGTGACACAATGTATCCTGTAGTATCACAATAGATGACACTATGTTACCTGTAGTATGACAAATGGTGACGCTATGTAACATGTAGTATCACAAAAGGTGACGCTTTGTAATCTTTAGTATCACAAAAGGTGACATTATGTAATATGTAGTATCACAAACGGTGACGCTATGTAACCTGTAGTATCACAAGCGGTGATACTTTGTAATCTGTAATATCACAAACGGTGACGCTATGTTACCTGTAGTATCACAAATGGTGACACAATGTATCCTGTAGTATCACAATAGATGACACTATGTTACCTGTAGTATGACAAATGGTGACGCTATGTAACATGTAGTATCACAAAAGGTGACGCTTTGTAATCTTTAGTATCACAAAAGGTGACATTATGTAATATGTAGTATCACAAACGGTGACGCTATGTAACCTGTAGTATCACAAAAGGTGACGCTTTATGATATTTAGTATCACAAACGGTGACACTATAAAACCTGTAGTATCACAAACGGTGTTGCTATGTAACCTGTAGTATCACAAACGGTGACGCTTATCGCTGTTATTTGTGATACTGTGTAACCAACGTTATCTCATCTTCACTTTTTAACCTGAAGTAGCATAGGAGATACCTGGCCGGCCTCTTGGTGATGATACCTAATAACATACAGCCTTTGACCTGTTTCAACCCCGACCATTCCTCTAATCTTCTACCTTACCTGGTCTCCGGGCAGCGCATAGTGTTCCCATGGGTACTTGAAACTGATCGATTCCCGTTTTGCCAGTTCAGGATGAGAGTAGTTAAGTCGGACCCCCTGCCGCCCCGTATGTTTGGCAAACCAGGCCGCAGCCTCGTCACCGCAATCCAACGTGTCTATGGCTAGCGGGCCAGTCCTTAAACGAAATATTCATTAAGATCACAAAACACTTTAATAGAGATCGTGCTTAAATGTCAAAGTACACTTATACTCTGCTTTGTGCATCTTATTTTAATTCTGAGTCTTTAAGAATTTGTTTATCAAAGACCTCATTTTCAGAATGTTTTCGCGGTGCGAGCGTCATTTTTAGAATGGCGAGGTCAAAGTTTTGGATCAGAAATGATTGGTTCAGTAATACGTCAGCGAGTCATACCCAATATGGCGGACCATTGCTTGGTCGAGTTTGGGAGTGATGGGTACCATGAGCGGTTCCATCCCTGGGGCGGTCATCTCCACCTTATCATCGTGCAACTTCACGGTCACAAGTAAAAGCTTCGGCTCCTTGTTAGCATTGATCCAAGTGTTTTCTCTGGAACTTAGAATCCAGTGCCTGGGGGGTGGGGAAAGATAAATCATTGTTAAGGCATGGTATTCAGTGTTTTATTGAAATATTTGTGAAATATAATCCGTATCGAATGGGAAGTTTTCTCAATTTATTAATTTTTTAAAGTATGAAAACGAAAATGTAACTGCAATTAAATTACGTAAATGACGTCACGCTGGACAACAAGGTTGCGCAACCTTTTGATGCTGTCACCCGACGCGCGAAAAACGTAATACACATACTAAAATGTTTGTTTAGACTTTGGTCATGGTGAGCACAAGAGGTCAGTCATTTTGATGAAACCTGTCCTCCGTCTCGGGTGAACTGTTGACAAGGGCATTGAAAACATCAAGTTTAGAAAGGAAAGATTTTGAGTCAATCGGATACCGGGTTACAACCATTGGTTACCTAAGACAAGATAACCGAAATAATATATTTAGCTATGTACCACCGCAATCGGCGCAGTGGACAGCAGGATGTACCTTCTACCTGACATTTTCACAAACGTTTCCCATGTTAAATCATTGCATCAACTTTTGATTGATTATTACTTCAAAAAAATAAAAAAAAATACAGGAATAACCGAAAATCGTGTATTGTATGAGTCTCATCTTTCCTTTGTTCATATCTTGTCCCAGTTTTTATCGATTTTGAATTCGAATCACGGCTTTGTTGACACTGCGATATTCAGTAGTTGATCTGTGAACATTACTAATCTTTAATCATGTTGAGACATTAAACGAGACACGTATAAAACCATGCAGTCTTATAAACGTCTCCAGTTAAAATTCAAACTAACCAATCTGTACACTACCCGTCATATAGCAACAGACAATCTATATAGGTCATGCGTGTTAAAATGTGTAACAACATATACCAGTACTAGTACGATACCAGGACACGATTCAGGTTAACGAAGTGTTCAGCCACACAGGTGTGACTCATCCCCGACGGGGCGGGGTTAGAGTGGGGACAGTGGGGACGATGGGGAGTGTGAAGGGAGAGGGGTGCTGGCTATACAAACCTGTCCGTGACGCCATACTGACGCAATCCTGTTAATGTACATTCGGCTGTTTTGACGTCCAGACCCCGGCATGATTTCACCGGGTAAAGTTGCAGACTTGACACTCTTCCGACCTTCTCGTATACCTTTGGTCGATTTAGAGCTAGCCACGAGGTGAAGCCATACTTCAGCACGGAGGCGCCGATCAGACTAACAAACGTCGTCGTCGCATCATCTTCAAGGAGGGACAACATCGTAACCTACCAGAAAAGGATAGTAATGACCTTGACTCATGGGGAGTGAAACGTGTTTGTGACGAAATACTGAGGGTTGTTCATCTGCTTTTTATGTTTCACTTCCGTGTCAATGATTCTTCTTGTTACCCACGTAACCTTTTATACCAAGAGAGTTTAAAGTGATCGTGCTCACTGTGAAACATTCATACTATAGGCCATGTATAGGCCTCACACACATACATCTATGTGTATTTTGTTTCACATCGACAAGGTAGACTACCAGTGCCCTGTATACACTAGGGCTGTAGTACTTTAAATGAGATAAAGGGAACCAGGGTTACTGATATCCACCGTCCTGGAGAATGTTTTATAAAATGTTCCGTTTTGGTGGGAAGGTAACCGGATGTTTTGATAACTCGTTCAGGACTTGACGGCAACACGTGTACATTTTAATGATGTCTAATCCGAGAAGTCGTGTATTTCACTTGGTAGAAGTATATAACAAGGTTGCGTCAGTTACTGTTTGAACCACATTTTCATAGCGGGATTGTTGTTGTGAATGTCTGTTGTCCGTACTAATATGGCTAAAACGACTGTCTATATTGGACAATTTAAAATGCAAAACCATCAAAAAGTTCAAATATATTGAGTAAGTAAGTTTGGCCGGCAGGCCAGGACTGTGCCCATCAATGCACTTTGCTTAGAAGTACCTAGTATTTCACGAATACTTTAGTAATAATATGGTTTAGCCGTATTGAAAGAAAATAAATTGCCTTACTGATAAAATTGCATTCATACTCACCCAAAAGTCCGTCAGTGCTGGCTAGTCAGTCTACTGGTGTACTGGTTGAGGTGACCTACTGACGTTATCAGGCCCAGGTTCACGGACGTCACGTATCAATTGTTAACCTTCTGTTACTCCAATAATACTTTCCTATGGGGACAAGTTGGTTAAGGTATGTCGCACGTCAAAGAATAACTCAGAACAAATGTGGTGGGTAACTGAGATATGTCGTCTTTGCCTTCAAGTCCACCTTTCCCCGGCCCTCCTGGCCGAAAGTACCTTGACGCTGCCCGGCGTCCAGTGTCACCTTTTTTTCTAAAACGACTTCTTCTGAAGAACCAGAAAGCTTGTGATTATGACGTTCAGCTTAGCGGCCGACTGAGTTTGTGCGATAATGTGGCGTCTGTCGACCGTCCGACTTTCGTCAATAAGTTTAATTTGATTATTACAACTTTATTTATGAAGTATTTGTTTTAGTCCCTTTCAAAAGAAGTATGCTATACAAAGCACATCAACGATCTTGCGATGCATTTTACAGAATTATAGTCGATCAAAAATTTGAATGTTTGAAAAACAGAAAACACAAAAACTGCAGGGGTCACACTCACGACCATTACATTGCAAAAGTTACGCCTTATCAATGTTGCCACCTAGGAATTATGACGGCAAAACATCAAAATAATAAGTGTCCAATTTTATGGCGTGCAAAGACAGTGTTTAGGAAGTTACTCTAAGCGAGAAAAACTCATTTTGGGTTGATTCATCTTCTATATAGAAGCGAGAATACTTAAAGTAAAACAAACTCCGATTGGAACTCTTCTTTTCCGATTATAACTGTTACAGTGGTACCATTTACCTTAAAAAAATGCGTGCCTGAATAACCAAAAGGTAGTCAATAGCATTATTGGATTAAGGGCTATCGCTTTGATTCCTATAAATCATCTTAACCCACTTGGACGGACACGTGGTTCAAATGTAAACGACATAAACTGAATAACTAAGTGGTTTAGATATCAGGGGCGGATCCAGGATTTCCTAAAAGGGGGGGGGGGGGCGAGAAATTTTTCTCAATAGTCAACGGTGTGCTGCCTAAGGCAGCACCCCGATCGCGTAGCGCGAGGAGAGGGACGGTACGGGAGGGGGTCTTCCCCCTGCCGTAAGGGGGGTTTGGGGGATCTCCCCCCAAAAAAATGTGTTTTCTAGAACGTCTCAGAAGCGATTTCCCGTGTTCTGAGGATTGTTTTTATGTTTAATTAACAAGAAGAAAAAAACATAATATCTCATTGTGGTACTTATAGCTTACCATCGTGTACGTACAAGAAAGTATCTTCACACAGCATACTATTGTGTACGTAGTAATAAGTTGTACGTACGAGATGATATGCTGTACTTACAAGTATGATAATTTTAAATTAAATTTAAAGGTGACGCGTATGTGCCTCCTAAGTTGTACCATTTTAACCAGATAGCTTAGCAAATGTACCACTGTTGGTAATATGCACGCCCTTACATGAGTTAATCAGCGTGGACATTTCAGATATATCATTGTCTACACTAGTGAATTAGTCAAGAATTATAAAACGCGAGACTATATAGCTAGTGGCCTTGGGTGTCGCACTGATTTGAACTTATCCGTTTGTTTAGCAACTTAGTGATGCCATGCGTAACTCATTAATTAAACAGCAACGATGTTATGGTGTTATTTGTTCTTTTGTACGACAAACTATTACATGAAGTACTGTACTGTAGGTACAATGTCTGAAGACTAGATATTGTGCGTCCCTACATTTATTTTTTGACGTTGGACCTCTCGTATCCCCCTTGCAGGTGGGACGCCAAATTAGGTAATAATGAGCAAGCCCCCTGTGGATTCATACATTTGTCATCACCAGGGATCAGACCATTTCGGGCCGGCCCGGAAAAGGTCAGTCCGCCGCCAAAAGGGGGAGCCGGGGCCGGGTATTTCACCAGTATCATGCTGGAGTAAATGGAAATCAATTTGTTCGTACGAATCACTTTGACCAACTTTTAAGATTTGAAGGGGTCAAAACTGCTGAATAACAAAAAGGCATTGGTCCCAAGAGCCAAATATTTGGAAAAACAACTGCTACGAAATATCTCTATTAAGAGTGGTGGGGGCTGTAGTTGGATAAGTACAGTAATAAGTTGAAATATTCCAACAAAGATCCATAATGAGTAGAGTGCTATCTAGCCTCCACCTTTAACTTGATAGTCATCAAATTTATTTGGATGAATTTGACCTTGACCCGCTTTGAAAGTCACACATGTGAGTTGTAACGTTGTTGAGCGAAACGGGCCAATTAGGCTTCGTGATATGGATTAATCTTCAGAGAGCGTTACAAAAATATCATTGGATTGGGGAACGTATTTGAAGTTTCTTTTAATGATATGATTTACGTTGTGATACAAACATGCCTGTGGGGCCTGTATAGCTTCACCTGTTTCTTTTGTTAACACTGGCAGCATGACTCAATTTCATCACAAGAACAAACCGGTTACATGGCGGGTATGTCAACTGTTGCCAAGTAATAACCCCAGGGACAATCGTGCAAGGTAGCATACATATACATGTATATGTCTCTTTACGCTCCCCTATTGTAAATATGGTTACGGAATAGAAATCTCATCTGTTTCCATGTCATGTCCCAGGGAATTAGTACCTATATTAGTGGAAGGACCGGACCTCTTTACCAATCTCGGTCGCATGAATATAATGTGAAACTTTTCCATGTTATGACCTAGGGGCGGCGCAAAATCCTAGAGTCAATACTGGTAGCATGTTTGTACTCGTCTTTTCATGTCTTGTAATTGCCTTAACAAGCGGTAACAAATTCAACTGTCAAAACAAAAGATTGCCTCATGGAAGCCATCTTGTTCCTTGTTTTACGATTAGCCTGAAAATCAAATATGCTAAATCTAAGGATATTTATGGGTATTTACATAAAATTGAGAAAGATTCGATTATAAACAACGTCAGACCAGTCAAATTTATCCCGTTATGTTGTGATTAAACATGTATCAATTAAATTTCTTGTCGTGTCAACAACTGTGAACACGTCTTTTTTTTATAAAGTAATAGTACATAGGACATTAGCTGCGGGAACCGTAGCTTCTATGTCCGTTTTTTTTTATTTATTTTTTTATTGTTATCGGACCATATCTTAAAGGGGCTGGTCGGGGAAAAAAATACAAAATAAATGGGTCTAAATGCGTTCTCTGGCCTTCCAAAAGTTATACCACGGCAATATGATGGTCAAGTTCTGCTTGCAATGTCCAGTTTTGACCACTGAAATCTTGGGGAAGCCCCCCGTAAATTTAGCGCAGATCTATTTATATATGTCACGTGGTTGTTTCGAAAGTGAGGCAGTGAAGATAACAACAATAGCACGCCGTCATGTGCCATGTCGGACTCAACTAGCGGACAAGACAGCAATACCATACGTAAATAATTGTTTTCAAAGGTCATGTATGATACAAGTGTAGTATTCCTACCTATATGTTGTTGTTATATATAACGGTATTGATACTCTGTGCCTGTCATGACTTTTGCATGCATCTTTTTCTTTCGCCGCGATGTTTACATTTGGCCTTGTTGATGAAGCGCGTGCGGTAAAATTACATCACTGATCTGGGTCAATTGAGAGTTTTAGACTGTCAGGTGACGATTTAGGATTTCTTTAATATAATTATAATTTTAACTCTTAGGGAGTGAATTTCAGCAAAATTTGAATCGGTATATTTCATAAGAAGGTATTTTAAACATGTGTATGCCATTTTAGAAAATATGACATTTTCCCCCCGACCAGACCCTTTAAATGACCATAGCTGTTGATAGGACGTTAAACAATACTAAACCAAACCTTAAAGGACCTGTAATTTGTTAGGCAGTGATGATACATGTGCCAATCAAGTTTCTTGGAATCCTCGACTGTACACAAAGAAAGACACTTGTATAACCTCTTCCATGAGGTGAACCTTCTAGTGGTATGGGGACATACGTCTTTTGATAATCCACGGAGTTCTCTTCGATTTTTTGTCAAATGATTAGTGCTCCTTATTCTTGGTAATGCCTTTACACGTCTTTCTCTGATTACTGTCGCTCTGCAGGCAAAACAGAGATTGATCGCACACACGGCCCTCTCCTTAACTTCGTTTGGGATATATTTGTTGTGCAACTTTTCTAGGGTACTACCATTGAACAGGCAGCTCAGTCATCTTTTTTAAACTGACGAATCCTCGACATAAACTTGTCTAATCCTGTTTATTATCTCTTCTTTAAAGTTCCATAAGATATGGTTTTCTTCTCAGAAATAATTCATCATTGCTATATTTTTGTCGGAAAACAAGTTTGCTTACAGTCAATCCGATTAAAATCCTATCCTACGTATCACGCGATACGTAGAGAACTAGGATAGGATTTTAATCAGATTGAGGATCCGTAAGTTACTATATTATTTTCAATTAACATGAAGTTATTCAGTGAACAGCTATACTTCCATCTTGTCATTGCT